TACATATTTATTGATGCCTGAATGATGTAAAGAGATTTTTTTTTATTGGTTTCTAGTACGTATTTAAGCTTTACTTAGCAGACTCATTTATTAGGTAATGGTGATTGTGCATCAGGGATGAGAACTTATTGTTGGATAACTTCAGTCGATGAAAGCTAAACCATGATTGTGATTTTCATTTCTGTAGCACCAAAGAATTACTACAATCTGATTACATTAGTTGCAACTCTTTGGAAGTTAAACTTGAGGGAGCTATAGAATTGGAGCTGTGGATGGAATTTTACTTGCGCACTGTGAGGTAAGAAAACTTACTTTCAAGACTTCGCTAATATGACTAAATTTGATGTTATTGTGTATTAAAATCTTTCTCGTCTAGTTTAGACACTTAAAAGACACTCCAACATGCAAATTTCCAAAATATTAGTTGCTTGATTAAGTTAAAAAGGACTCCAATATTCAAACAAAGCATACTTCCTAGTTGGAAGTCTACAAAGCCTCATATCAGTAACTACAACAACGCAACGAAGAACCATCCATTTAAATTAGGAGCTCCTCTCGAATTCACGCAGCCAATGCACAGTCGTAATCTCCATCGTCATCATCATCGCCATCTCCCCTCGCAGCCTCTTTTCTCCTTCCATAGTCGCAGACTGCATCGATGACTTCATGGCTTTCTATTACCCGAACGCCATTGTTCTTGCTTAGTGAGTTGACCATGGCTTCAACAGGGGCCATTATTCTCAAATAGAGTAAGAAAACGATTTCTCTCTTGTTCTCCTCTTGGTCTTTGTTAATTTTTAAAGGGCGTGGAGCTTATATAGGCGTTGGAACCATACGAATGCTCTTTTGCTCAAAAAGAGCAGTGTGTGTATTTCTCATTGCTGCCTAGGCTTGGCACAAGGCATGCACGTGATGATTGTCTTCAAGGGTGTGCAATGTGAATGCCTATGAAAAGCTAAGGACAGGAGATTGCCACAACACATTTATATGCACACTCAGCTTAAGCGTGAGCATGAGAATATCCATGTAGCTAGACGGTAGGAAAAGTGAGGATAACCCACTACGGATTGATGATGGATGTCTCAGGATTTTCTTAGTTGGAATTCTTAGAGGCACTAGGATTATTTTAATAGGAGAATATTGTTATGTTGTTTGTGAGTAGGACCACAAGAATGTGAGGGTGCGACTCTTGAATTGAACTATGATCGATGCACCCGGAGTCAGGTGTGAGTCAACTGTGTATGAACAAAAGAAACGAATGAGATAGTATGGTTATCGCGACTTGTTGGCTCGTGTAGAGGGGGGAGGGGTGACGCAGCGCGGAAGTGATAACCTCGGAATCCACCAAGAGTGTTCTCTGAATCCACAAAGAAAGATATTCGAATCCACGAAGAACTTCGAATCCACGAAGAAAATATTGAAAAGAGAAATTTTATTGATGAAAAAGTTATTCTTCTTTGGGGTTACATGACTCTTCTTAAATAGAAAAACAAATAAGACTCCTAGTAAAACTAGAATTACAAAAATAGAAAATATCAAATAAGACTCCTAGTAATACTAGAATTAACCTATGTTTACAATCAATAAATCGCAGGCTGAAGCCTCTTCTCAAAAAAGGGGTACCCGCTCTATTCATGGTCAGCAATAGTATTAGTCTACTTCCTGAACCCCACAGGATATGCTTTGGCTTAAAATCACTCCATGTCAAAAGATACAGTCAACTTCAGACAGTCGTCAGGATTTGAGAAGCTTATGTAGTGAAAATGTGCCCCTTAATGATTTTATTGCGCCTACATGATATAACAGTGTTAGAAAGTCACTAGAGATTTTCTTTTAGAAGAGAAGTTATATTATGTTGCTTGACGGTGAGAATTTGTTAAAAGAGAATCAATTTATAAACCAGTGTTAGGAAGTCACTAGAGATTTTCTTTTAGGGGCTGTTTGGTTCGCTAAAATAAGGGGTGGAAAACTCAGAAAACCCCTTCACGTCAGATTTTTAACCCTCCACGTCAATTTTTTTTTGTTTCCGTCCATTTCTTTGTGCCGCTTTGATTCGCTCAGATGGAAGAGGGAAAACTCTGCTGAAATCGCCGCCAGCTCAGATTTTTTTCCCTCTCCGATTCCCTTCCCCAACCGAGTGAAATTGATGAAAACTCTGCCACGTCAGATTTTTTTCCTTCTTTGCTTTGTTTACAAAAGTTTTCCTTTTTTTTTCTATGCGAACCAAACACAAGAAAAATAAATACATTGGTTTCTCACCATTTTTTATGTGCAAACCAAAGCAAAACAATCTATTTCTTGGAAAAGTTTGAAAAACTCAAAACTTGTATTTCTTTACATGGAATTGCATTTCTCTATATCAAGAAAACGAACCAAACAGCCCCTTAGGAGAGAAGTTATATTATCTTGCTTGACGGTGAGAACCTGTTAAAGAGTATAAATTTATAAACCTCAACTCTCATCACAACTTTAGAATTTTGGTGCGGTGACCGGGATATTTGCATGGTATTGGAGAAACTTAGATTCAAATCTAACTAATCATGAATTTTTAAAGTGAATTTAAAAAACATTCCAATCAGTGAGTCTTAAGTTCTGCCCGTGAAACGACCCTCAACCCGTAGGATATGTTAAGAGTATAAAATCGTCAGTTAATTACAGATAGACTCCCTATAGTATGGCCCAGTTGCCAATGGGCCTCCTATAGTTCTAATCATGTATGCCTATCGAAGCGCCTTTTTTTTCTTCAAGCGACGACGTGCAAAATCCATCAATTACTGAGCTGACTTCTTACAGTCGTTTGTCAGCCCATTCTAAGTAGGTAGAATTGGGCTTAAAGCCCAATTGTTCTTATGGGTTGTAATCATTTAGTTGTATAGCCCATTAAATATCTAGCATAAATGCACCAAAAATGTTCACACAAGGGGATTACGACTTCAATTTTGGACTCAAAATACGTGGAAATTTTGATGATTTCCAGCATCAAGAGCACATTCCCTTCTCTTTAGCTTCTCTTGTTAGTATATAAAACTATTCTGTTTAGTTTAGCTTTTGTAAGAAAATAGACAGTAATTGTAGAGAGTTAATTTCTACTAGGAATTAGAAGGCTATTAACTTCTTTCTCTTAAAAAAATTATTGACTTATATGTCAAGATAGAGTATAAGAATCACTTTATTTCTTCATTAGCATGATTTTTCACTGTGTTATATTTGTTCTTAAAGTAAAGAAGCCCTTAAAGGCCTAAAGAATAACCTCTTTAAAGATTTTTTTTTTTAATTACTTACTTTATACGATTAGATGAATGGGATAATAAGGCCCTATAAAAGCAAATAAAGATGAATAGAAGTAATTATCAGGGTGATGGTATATAGTTCTAGTCCTACCCTTAGAGTCTTAGACGCTAGTGCTACCTTATATAACTTTATCTTATACTCGCATATGAATCCTCAACATTTTCAAACTTGACTGAAGTCAATCTATCACTTCACATTGGCGAGTATCAGGCCCAACCTAGAGTTAATAAGCCTTAAACAGATGCTAGAAATCACTTTTAACCCGAAAACTTAAGCTATTAGCTTTGATCCCAATTTCTATTTAAACATATCCTTCTTTTTTATCCTAATCAATATGAGACTATACTCACATATGAATCATACAAATATTGCAGTTACAAGTGCAATTGTTAGGGTTTGTTTGGTTCATTACATGGTAACCATTTTTTGGTGATTTCACTTAGTTTTCCATCATTTTTAGCCAATTTCCTCTCAAAACGATCTGAAATAGATTTTCAGTTTTGATAGGACGTGCAGCATTATTAGCATCTTTGAGTTGAGGCTATAGACACCAACCCCCCAAAAAAAAAAAAAATTATTTTTGCAGCGTTTGTTTTCCTCTGATAGGAACAATAGTTGGATTGTTTGGTTGTTCTATATCCGTTCATAATTTTTTATTTTTAAACAAAGACAGATATCCACGACCTCGAATATAATAATTCTCTCCCTTCCTCTTGAAATTTTATTCTTTAGACAAATGGACCAGTGACGATTGTTTTAACTAGACAAAAAAAAGAGAATTTTTTAACTAACAAAATAAGAATCTAGATTATATCGAAAAGATCAAGAGAAGAAATTTAGTAGGGCAAAAAAGAAAAAGACGTGAATCCCCGTGACTTCTTCTCATCTTCTTTTAAGGCTAAAGGGATTAGGAAGAGAGAGAATTTGGAAATCGAAAAGCATTTGATTGAACTATGCTTTTTATCTCTAAATTAATTTTCCTAGTCAAGCATTTGATTGAACTTGAAGGTTTCGCTCAACTTTTGCAGGTACAGAATGGATGGATCGTGTACTGAGACCTGCGTGCAAAGCAGAAAATCTCAGATATCTATTTACACGAAAATATCGCCAACGCTTTCTACAAGAAATTTGGATTCGATATGAAAGAGATGATTCACGTCGATGATATGAATACCGATGCCTATGTCCCCTAGTGAAGCCACCCTGTGAGTTAATGCAGAGAAATGAGTACTCAAAAACTGTTGGTATTAGGTAACAGGAGTTTGGTAAATACCCTGAACTAAGATTGATCTCATTTGCAACTTTTTTTTCCTTTTGAGTTGTATGAACCGACTGCTATGAATATTCTTGTTGCTGCTCTGCTGCTTGAGATCAAATCATGCTTGGTAGTGAATTTAGTACTTCGTATTAAATACCAACAGTTTGTCAGACCATTTCTTGACTGTTTGGTGCCCACAAATCAGAGATAAAGAACTCGACGGTCCAAGACTCAGCTCGGCTACTGTTTCATTCTTGAAAGTAATAAATGAACAAATTCAATTCCTTCAACTCAGAAGAAACTACAGTTTCCTGCTTTTTTCACTTGCCCGGCGTATTATGACTGGATTCAGCTCCAGGCACTCAAGAGAAGAGAATATGGACATCTGTGACTAATAAACCACAATTCCAGCTGAAAGACCAAAATTACTCTACTGGTTTAATCCGCCTGCTAAAGAGCTTTACGTCAAATTTTTATGAAGAAATCACTAGCAGAACATGCATACCAAACTTTAAATATTGCCGAACTAAATAAAAGTACTAAGAGGGCTGGATATAAGAACCCCGCATAACCGATAACACTACTGTTAACATACGAACTTCTTTTATAACAATACCGCAGGAAGTTGGTACCAGAATCAACACCAATATACACATTCTTGCTCAAGCGCTAGAACTATGCAAGCAGTAGTCTCGCATCCGGTGCATCACCCAACATGCTTGCTTCAGTGTAAAAAATCTTAAAATTTTACAAGCAGAGTAAGGACCTGCACAGAAAAATGCTAAATAAGCAAAACTTAACTTCTCAAGGCCATATCAGGCTTTTAGCTGCACTCACATTATTCAGCGTTGTGTGTCTGGTCGTGCTCGATAAAATCAAGAGCCTGCTCTTTTGAGACCACATTGACATGGCTGACTCTGTTCTTGTGTGTTACTCCATATATCTTGTCTGCAACTTTCACCAGCTCTGGACGAAAAGTCGTGGTTATAAACTGAGTGTTTGCCATGTCAGCGAGACGGCGTATCATATCTTTTCAAAAACAAGATTTAAGGTCTCCAAGAACACTGATTGCCCGAAATTCAAAAGATTAATGTTGCTCTTGAAGCTAGGTGAACAAAGCATCTG